AAACCAGTTTTAAAACCATTTTCGCACTTCCATCCCCTTGAAACAATATCTTTCAGTCCTGAAATTAAGGTTTGATCTTCAAGGACTGTCCAACAACGCCTGCTATTGATGACTTGCTTCTTACTAGTAGTACATTTATTTGAACCAGCATTGGTATCCATGTACCCTGAAGTATTGGACAATATATAATTTAGAAAATCCATTAAAGTATTAAAAAATATCACAACAGACCAAATCATTCTAATAATATAATCCAAATAAAATTTCAAAGTCTTACACGAAAACAAACCATGTATAAAAACTTAAAACTAAAAACAAACAGTTAACAATTGAATTACAAGTAAGACTTTTTAAACATGTTTAACGAGACATTAGCCACTTGTTATACATGTTTTGGTCAATGGTATCCCACCATATGGTCCATTCCTCTGAAGTTTCAACAGTGTTTATGTAATCTTCACCATTAATAATGCCTGGATTCTTACGAAAAAAATCATCCAAGGTTTCTTTCTCGGGATCGAAATCATTAGTTGTGCGTATAAAATTATGGAGGAGACAACACGCCATTACAATCCTATTTTGTAATTTGATGGGGTAATATGCCGGGCTTCGTAATATGGCCATCTCGACTTCAGAAAACCGAATGCCCGCTCAATGATGTTTCTTGCCTTCGCATGTTTCATGTTAAAAAAATTTCTCAAGTTTGTAGGTGCATTTGGACCTTGACCATATGCATCAAGGTGGTATCTACTACCTCGATACGGTGCCAAAAATCCCTCGCCATTGGTATAACCATTATCAACCAAGTAGTAATTACCTGTAATCGGAAAGGATTTTACTACATATAGAAATGACTCATGGACTTTTAAAATTTGGAAAGGGTAACTAGTAATAACATATTGTGTTAATCTAGATTTTACAAACATACTCGTAGGAACCCGTAGCCCGTTGTCTCTAGTTACCGCGTCCCGAAGTATTCTACTGTCGGCGGCAAAGCCTTCCCACCCCGTAAGTAAGTAAATAAAGTTTATGTCATCATCACAAATGGCTAAAACATTCAATGACACCTTACCCTTACGGTTTCTGTATTTTGGTTTATCAAAACAAGGGACGCGACATTCTATGTAAGTCCCATCTAGTGCCCCGAGACACCCCTAAAATTTATTACATAGTAGTGAAAATATTAAATTGATTAATGATGAGTAAGATATCAATTACGTTGTATGTTATTCACCGTTACCTTAAAGTGTGAGAAACGCTCATTTTCTGAATTTTCACCAACGGGCTTTGGTGAAATCAATAGCATTTCATGTAACTTTAGCAAAGCCAAAAGGACGCGGTTAAAATACTTGCTTACGGTATACCTTGATCTCTTGAAATGACTTCGAACAAGGACATTTTTTGTGTGGTGGGCAAGTATTTGAAGAAACATTGCAACTTGCTCGAGTACGGACACATTTCTATTAGTTTAAGACCACCAACATTTTCTAAAACATAACACAAACGGTAGAAGGTTTGTATGTTCATTCTAAGATTATCACGACATGTAACATCATTGAAGCCAACTATAGAACGCAAATAATCGAGCTGAGAAGGGGTTCTTCCTACCAAGCTATAAGTTCGAGTTTGATTTTGCGACTCAGCCAAACGACGACGATTATATTGGGTCAAAATGCGGACAGACATTAAGAAAAACAACCTTAGATTAAACAATAGTTGGTTCAACACTACTATTACATCTTCTTCTTATTTTGACAAATCCATCGAAAGCCAACAAGATTCTACAATATTCATAACCAAAAAAGCAACACATTCACAAAGAAGAACATCTCAGTGGATGAATAATCAAATAACCTAAATTTGAACTTGAAGGCAAAACCCAAACAAAATGCAGGCAAACATGATTATTAGTTCAAAAAACAACAACAAGTGAATAGCTAAACCAAAACATAACATTTTTGTTTGCGAAAGCTATACAGTAAACTAGCATTATAAATAAGTAAAATAATACAAATGTCCAAAATTAGAACCCACCCTTCCAATCGAATACATACATGATTGTAGTCAAGAATTTGGAACATGTCAAGGCAGGGCTATTTCGCGCAACAAAAGCCAATAATCTAACCGATTGTCGGAAAAAAATAGAATGGGAATTACGACATACAACGATGTTAAAAAGACAATAATTGAAGACTAAGATTCTGAGAATTAACTTACCAGATCTAACCCTAAAATTGTATACTTCTGCCTTCTTAGCGTGGCCGAAAATTAGCCAAAATTAACGTGCCCCATTCTCTGCGAAATGAAAAACTCTTCCATTAATTAGGCGGTAGTAACAAAACCACATGTAAAGAAATTGTCGATTTTGGGGAAAAAAGATTTCGATGAAAGATCAGTTCTTACCGCAACAGATTAGGGCTCAGCAGTGAAAGGGATCTGAAGATTATACCTTTTTATATATAATATTTGTGTAATTATTCCTTGTTGTAAGGGCACAATCGACATATCACATTTGTGCAGATGATGGAATTATTTGGTGATAAATAATCAAGCCAATTTTTGCTTGACAGGTAATAATTCGATTGGTTGATAAATATAGTGGGACCATTTATCAATATGTGGCAAAACCTCCAAACCAAATGTCCTCCTACTTGGTACTATTTGTCCCATTAGGCGTAATATGGCGAACCAAAAGGGCCCTTAATGTGATACGGTTATGAAAATGGTGAGGAATGCGTGATCACATATTTTATTCTTCAGAGGTATTTTAAGTGATGTTATTTTTAAATAATTGTAAATTTAATTTAAAAATTATAATATGTCATAATTTAGAAAATGTAGAAGAATTAGATGAAAGTGCAAAATTCTTGAAACCAAAAGTAGAAATCTTGAAATAGATTGGTATTGGATAAATTGAGAATTGAGAATACTAGGAAACTATAATTAAGAAAATCATTTTCTTCCATGAGAAACAAAGGAAACCATTCTTCCATTGATTGAATAACGCAAATAACACCAACAACAACAATATCATGAAAATAATAGAAAAACAAGTCTATGATATTTTGAGCAGTTACATTCACTGCACTGCATTGCATTGTATATATAGGTACATACATGTATGCTCTTATTTGACTCTTTTGTGCGGATAATTCCTCCTCAGTCGACGAAAAATCCGAACACCCGAGAGAAACAAATTTCACAAAAAAAAAAGAAGTAATTAAAATGGAATCTTCATTACAGCCGATTGATCTTCGATGATGGATATATTGATCAGACGGTGTAGTGTGGGTTGACATCAATATCAAGTCCCCTAAGCTTAGCGAATGATTCGACCTTCCCTTTGAGCGTGTGTATTTCCCTCAGCCTCGCCACCTCAGCACGTCGTTTAGCTTCCTCAGCCATTATGTTTATGTCCCTAAATGTGTGATGCTTGTCCGAAAACATCTTCGTTTCTGCTGTCTGGAGCCCGTGTAGCGTCCTCTGCTCCGTCGCCCACGCTGCTTCTCTTGCTTCCTTACCAAAGTCCTTTTGCGTGTTGAATGCCATCTATTTTATTTTTATACGTAAACGGGGATCAATGTTTTTTTTTTTTTTTTTTATATAAACTTCGAATTTTCAGACGTAAATTGTAGTGCATTTTCAACCTATTAAATTAAGGGATTTGATAAATGTCGTTTCAGTTTTAATAATACCGTCACGGCTTCAAATATGATCTTGACCATTTTTTAGGCTGAATTTGGCAAAACTTGAAATACGGAATCTGTAATTCTTTGAGTTAGCTTTCTAGTTTCTAGTCCAACTTGAATCACCAAGATTAGATATCGCAGCATAACTTCTAATTCAAGTTGGATTTGAATACTGAATACTATCTTAAAGGACTACAATTTCCGTGCTTTGAATTTTGCCAAAAATAGTCATAATAACGCCCAAAGTCGAAACGTTATTAGTAAAATTGAAACGACACTTAACATTTCAGTTAAAAATAATTACCCTTTGGTTTAGAAGTAGTCCCCAAGCTCTACCACTTAGAGAATATCTGACTGCAAATTTAATTGGATCAAGAAACATATATGTCACAATATTGAACAACCAGATCACAGCCGTCCATCCCCACCCGATTTTCCTTATCCCGAATAAATCCGACGTCACCTCTGCCGATAGTAATGTTGCAACCTGCACAAATCACAACGCATCAATTTTTCGACAAATCTCGTCCCTTTTCCTTTTTTTCAATAATACGAATTAAATTATAAGAAAAATAGGATTACCAATTGAGCGACGATAAATGCAGCGACTAGAAGAAGACCGGGTCTTTCGGTGAAGGACCACCCCCTGGATCGGGTGACGAATATCAACGCTTGGCTGATTGTGCTTACTTGAAGATAAACCGCAGATGCTAATTTGTCTTTTAATATTTTCGAGCTGTCGTCTGCTAGAGAAGAACCCGCGTGCTGCTTGCTAAAATCTTCCACGTGAAAATGGTCCTGATTTTTTTTTTAAATTAGCAATAGTGCACAAATTAAATGAAATCGAGCTTATGATGAGAAACTTAAGACGACAAATATTTGGATTATGTTTAGTTAAATGTACCGCGAAAAAGCTGGTTTCGTAGGCCAAATAGAAGAATATAACAGTCATCAAGGCGAGATAACTTCCTAGTACAATCCCCGTCGCGAATATTTCGCTCAATTTCCAAGAATCGGGTATTGGAGATGGTTTCACTCTGTCTTTCGATATTGTCATTATAGTACCTAGATAAATCGCAACAAAATTAGACAAAAAAAATATGTACAAACAACATCTTGTAATAATATTTGTGTAATTTGTAGCAATTAATGTACCATCATTTAGAATGGCAATGACGAGAACCATAAACGGAGGGAAGTCGAATTTCCAAAACGCCGTCAGCAACATAAATCCCATCTGTTCAACAAAAGAAAACCATAAGTCGTAAATCAGCATTAACGAACGCTTTTCAAAATCGAAGAAGGATTAGATTAAAGGCTTACCACTATACGAATTGTGATCGAAACTGCATATATCTGTTAAAAAAATAAGATAATTAATTCATTCATTCATTAATACATTCAGTTGAAGAAAAATAAAGGAGGAGAGCTATATTTTTTTTGTTTTACCGTGTAATTCTTCATTCTCTGAAAAATCGCACGACTCGTTAACACAGCACTAATAATGACACTTAGCCCTGGTTCGGTGAGGACAATATCGGAAGCACTTCTGGCGGCATCGGTTGCATCTGCCACCGCGATTCCGATATCGGCAACCTTCAATGCCGGTGCATCGTTCACTCCATCTCCGGTCATCCCACAAATGTGCTTTCTCGTCTGCAATATCTTCACTATCTCGTATTTGTGCTCTAGCAAAAAAAAACGAAGAAACGGAATTTTAATAATTTGGATTTTATTTTTTCCGAAAGTGTTGCGAAATCGCCGAGATTATAATATAATATGATAATAATAAACCTGGAAAGACGCCTGCGAAACCGTCGGCATTTTCGATGAGTTCTTCGACCGGTAGAGCTTTGACCGACGAGTCTTTGTGGTCGCCGAGCAACGACGACGAAGGGTACATGTTCGTGCCCATGCCAAGTCGTCTCCCCGTTTCCTTTGCTATTGCTAACTGATCGCCTGAAAACCGTTTTTTTTTAAGGTTGTTTATATTGCACTACAAATTGAATAAGTAAACTAGATTAACAATTGATGCAAACCTGTGATCATTTTGACACTAACTCCGAGATCTAGAGCTTTCCGGATAGTCTCGGCGCTGTCGTGACGTGGCGGATCGAATAGGGGTAGAAGCCCGACAAATTCCCACGGTCCGCCGGAACTTTCTTTTGAACCTTCCGGAACGTTCTGTTTTTCGACCGATCATGCAATTTGTCATCTCAAGAAGATTGCTTTCTTCAATTTACAAGAGTTAGTTATTATCGATATACCTGTCGAGCAACTGCAAGCGATCGGAGACCCCTCTCGGCAAATTTTTCGATAATCGTGTGCACTTTGTTTGCGATATCTGACTTGTTGCATGCCAGATTCAGAATCTGTTTGATTCGTCGTAAACACGAACCATAAATTGTTTTAATCAACAGTAAAGTGCCATAATTATTTATTTGTACTGTGAAACTTCTATAAATTAATACAGCCGGGAAAATTCTATTAAATTTAGCGAAATATTAAATTAGATCTAAGAATTTATACCACGTTCTCACTAAATCAGGACCGAGAAAAATTATTATTTAAACGAGACTATTAATTTACAGAGTATTAATTTATCGAGGTTCTACTGTATTACTATAAAATAAAAAGTGATGTAATTTGATATTAAATAAAATACCTGCTCAGGGGCACCTTTGCTAACTCTGTGCATTTTACCATCACTATCTAAGTAGGTAAGTGCTGTCCTCTTATCAGTTGGATTGAAAGGAAGGAAGTGAACTTCCGTAATTCCAGCTCGCGCCTTTCGTCGATAAAAAAAAAAACACGAAATATTTTTTTTTTTTAAAATACGAAAAAATAAATTGTGTTCAATATTTAGAAATGTGAGAAAGCAACCTCTTTAGGATCATCTAACATTGAAACAATTGCACAGTCAATAGCATCTTGATTCTCCAGCCTCGATGCTCTTGCCGCCATTAACACCACCATATCTTTGTCCACGTCTTTCGCGAAAACCTTAGACAAAAATTCATATTATATATATAATTATATTATTATACTTGCAGTTTCATTTTTTTACGGATAATATAAACTAACGAACAAAAGTATTATTAGTACCTCAACTAGATTTTTGTCGACCGACAGTTTGTTGAGAGTAAGAGTTCCGGTTTTATCACTGCACAAAACATCCATACCAGCCATTTCCTCAATTGCTGTCATTCTTTTCGTTATCGCACCCTACGACCAAAAGACGACACGGCCATTTATCCCGTTATACCAATTCGAAATAATATAACATTAAATTATTTTTTTCGCATATATATATATATATTACTTGCTGAGAGAGGCGGTGGGAGCCAATAGCCATAGTAACGGAAAGAACGGTCGGCATTGCAATGGGGATTCCACCGATCAATAGTACGAGAAGATTATCTATAGCTTGACGATAACCTCTCTTTTGTAGCCCAAATATTACTATTATTTCAAATACCATCCCCGTCGCTATCGAGCATATGCAGAAGTTTCCGATTGAAGTCAACACCTGAATTCATCAAAATATTAATATACATACAGTGGCTGGAGCCAGCATACGGCCAAGGGGGCCATGGCCCCCCACCGATCAAAAGTACACTCAGAATTTTTTTAATGCAGTCGGCCCAACGGACTTAAATTCCTGGCTCCGCTAGTGATTGTTTGTGTGACAAGATATATATATCTATAATTTTAATTAAGAAAATGTGGAATTAATTAAATGTGACCTGTTGAAAATGTCCAATGTGAGTAGTGTTTTCGACTAAATGAGCAGCTTTCCCGAAGAAAGTGTGTACTCCGGTAGCGATTACAACTGCTTCGATTTCGCCTTGCTTGCATGTGGAACCCGAGTACACTCCATCACCCGGGTTTTTGCTTACCGGTAGAGACTCCCCTGTTAAAGCAGACTATATAAAAAAAAACATACAAATTCAAATTATTAGATACTCAAAAAAAAAAATATGATATAAAATAAATATATTAAAGAATTTGATAATAATGTATATACCTGGTCGATTTTCAACGGATCTCCTTGGAGCAATCTTGCATCGGCCGGAATGATGTCACCGAGTTTTATGCTAATAATATCTCCCGGAACCAAAACCGACGCGTCCTCCTCTCTCCATTTTTCGTCGCGTAAAACCTGATCAATGTTAAGTACATAATATGTATATAGTTTAATTAAGTCGAAATTTTCGAAGAAAAAAAATGTTTTTTTGGTAATGTGATGATCGATGACCTTAGCTCGAGGAGCCAAACGAGCCATGAGAGCTGCAGCCGCATTTCCAGCATTGTTCTCCTCTATAAAACTAATAGTCGAATTGACTACAAGAAGTAACACAATCCCAATGAAATCACTGTAATCAACTTTATGTTTCTGCAACAAATAAAATTAAAAAACAAAAATCGAATATCAATCATCATAAACATTTAATTTCGAATGCAATATAAATTAAAAAAATATATTTCGAAAAAATTACCTTCCCGTGAGGAATAGCGATAGCCATGATAGCAGCAGCTTCCATAACCCAAGAGAGAGGATTCCACATAAACCCCAAAAACTTCAGTACTTTACTCTCCTGCAAATAAATAAATAAAAATGATTTAATTTTAATTAAAGTGATCAAGACTTGAAACATTTTAATTAATGAAATTATGTATGTATATTGATTTATTTACCTTTTTCTCTTCGAGTTTATTATAACCGAAGAGTTGAAGCCGTGTTTGAACCTCGTCGGAGCTAAGGCCTTCTTTCGTGCATTTCAACTTTTCGAAAACTTCTTCAACCGGGATATTTTCCTAAAAGATCGATAGATGCAAAGTCCCTATGTATATTAACATTTGCTAGGGATATCTATCTAAATTCAACTTGAACACTAATTAATAAATACATAGGAATTAATATATGAATTAGTCTTGAAATAAAACTAGAAACTAGTGTTGCATGCACTAATACTTGCACAAAAAGACAAAATTCCTCGCCCCAGAGGCCCTGATTCCTTGGCTGGCCCGACAGGTTTTTGATGGATGCAATAATACTCAAGATAGTGAAATAAAGAATATTACCAAGTCAACAGTTTCATTGTTGATAGCTTCCAAGGCTACGCTTGTTTTGTCGTCCAACTCCATTTCCAGCTCGTAATTTCGATTAAACCTGTCAATTTATATTCTTAATTATAGAATATAAGGAAGCACAAATATAAAACAAAATAGCCTTTCTTCTTCCACTCTTCTTCTACATAGTACACATCAATTTGCTTTCTTTCTTTGTTTTTTTTTATTTTTTTATTTTTTATTTTTTATTTTTTTATTTTTAAGTTAAGCCTATAACATAAATTTTTTTCTTCATTAAATATCCCATATAGCTAAAGAGGAGAATTCCAAAAAGAAAGAAGAAGGAAAAAAAATTAAATCATCGGAGTTACCTATTGGATTAGTGAGTTTTCAAGAAAAGAAATTCCCTTCTTTTTTTTCTTTTTTTTTTTTTTTTTTTCTGGGAGAGGCTTTGGACCAGAGAAATGAGAGAAGAAGTGTAGTTTGTTGAGGAATTTGATGAAATATATATATATATAGGGGTGCATGATGTAAGAAAAAAATATTATTTGAAACATTGTTGTTGTAAAGTTACATGCATGCAAAAGACAGAAGATTTGGATTGCCAGCTCAGCAAAGCACAATAGAGGACGAGGAAAAGACTTGTGAAACTCCGTCAACAAAGCATCCCATAATATATTACTCACACAGAACAGAAGCTGTCTTTCCAACAAAGCTTACTCATCATGAATCTTGTAATATTATTGGAGATTGGAGATTCTTGTTTTTTGCATATAAGGTCAACAGAGGGGCTGTCGTTTGTAATGGGCAAAAAAAAATAGAAAGGGGAAATTAGGTTAAAGTCTCTCAATATCTTTTTCTTTCTAAATAAGGACCGTCTTTTTTTTTTTTTTTTTTTTTTTTTTAAATTAATTTTGTGTTGGTTGCTATGGCCTTTCGATATTATAACGGTTATTTCTATGCTACAGCTGGTGAAGACTGCACCGGGTGATTTTTTACCGTTGATCTACACACATCAATGTGGGCGTATGAGTGTTTGTGCGTATATAAATGGTAAGGATCTACCCGCATAAAATAAACCATATTACAACACATCACTAACTAACCAATTTTGATTTTTATGCAATCCAAAACTCGGAAAATGATTAAAGAATGTGTATCGTTGTGTGATTTCTTTTCCAATGCATTTTGAAGACAAGAGTTGTGGACTTATTGTTCAAATATTGAACACACTCTAGAATAGGGTTTTTTCTCTATGTTATTGAAATGTCATTTCAACTTATTAATTTACTCCGTGCGATGCACATCCGGTTAGAAAATAATAGGAGATATGGTACATTTACAAATATAAATGAATCATGTGTATGTCTAAAAACAAAGTTTCAAGATGTAAATATTTATTCTTTTAAAATTGGTGTAGACTAATATTCTTTATATATATATATATATATATATATATATATATATATATATATATATATATATATATATATATATATATAATCCCACTAAAAGCGTGCATTTCCCCAAAAAACATATACATGCAACAACAAATCACACAGAAGATCATCTTCTCAAAACTTCTTCTCGCCTGCGAAACAGTCGAAACAACAAGAAATCTTCAAAATAAATTCTTTCACAACCACTTCTCCGTCGAATTAAGGTTGTTTACAACACAAAAAAAATGGGACAGAAAGCAAAAGGACATGTAAATTTGCAAAACAAATGCGTTCCGATTAGTGCCTGATTTTGGGGTTTTTTTTTTTGTTTTTTAGTTCTTATAGATCCGCGACTCGCAGTAGTCATGCTTCGTCGTATACTGTTACTTGTAGTTTTATAGTGTTTAAATCCTAAATAGAGCATGATTCTCTACACAGGAAAGCAGAAAAAGACCGATGGCGAAGAATTGAAAACCTTACACGCAGGTATATATTTTTCCTCTTCACCATTTATTTATGTGTTTTCTCCATTGCTGCATACAAATTGATAGTTGTTTGTACTGATTTTATCGTTGAGACAGATCCTGTAAAAAATGAGTTGCCATCTGACATTGGGCAACAACGACCCCGTTGTTGTGTGCAGAAGTATGTATACATGTAGTAATGTATTGTAAATTCATATTCTTAGCATCCATGACAACCTTGATTTAATTACTGCAGATCACGAAAAAATTTTAGTGCATCAGGCACTGAATCATGGGAGGTATATTACACAATATCGTGCCACATTGCATAAAATAGTAAAATTCTTCTCCAACGTTCACCACCGACCAAAACACTACAATTGCCTCCGACGTATACCATTCTACAATCTTGTCCTCCCATTTGCCAAGCACAAGATAAGTGAGGCATCAGTTACTGAAAAACAGACGGATGTATGAAAAATATTGAGAACTTACGTGCTAAAGAACAGTCCTTTGTCAGTGAGGCAAGAATCTCACCATTGAACCTGAAGAGTGCGAATTCATATTAATATTCGATATAAAATCTGGCCCTGGACGAATTCGTTTCGACAGATCAACTAATTCTTCCCAGACCATATCAGATCCACCCCAGCAAACAAAGTGAAAGGGTGCACACCATTACTGTTGGTAAGTTTCCTGCTGGTGAGTTTACCACCTACAAGACATCAACTTCAAGAAAGCAAACAACAATTCGACCAAGAAATCCAAAAATCCAAACCACTTGAAGAGGAGATAGCAACACTGCAACAACAATTTCAATCAATGCAGAATAAAGAAGATACAATCGATGACCTCCAAGTACAGGTCACAATGCTGAAGAACTCAATCAAAGTACTTGAAGATCAGAAAACATTTTGATATGCCTAATTGGGCCAACCCAATAGACCTACAATTTTTTTACCTACTGGGCCACAAGCTCAATATAGAAGACCACTACTACCGATATCCAATCACCTTCAAATAAGGCTTTGGCCCGATAATCTCAACTAATTAAACTTCAGCCCAATCAATGATGTATAAATAAGGGTTTGAACTCATTCCTTAAGGTACGTCCGATTAATTGAGCAATACTATCCACTGTATTCTCTGGACCATTATTATTATCCGCACGTCTGACTTGCGTCGGAGGGGTTTCCACCGGATCAACCCCCGGCTTAGTTTACGTGTTCTATAATCGCAGGTATCTCAAGGTCGTGAGCCAGTGGCGCCGTCTGTGGGAAGGCATACATAACCACGTAGCGCGCATGAGCCTCGTTGAGGCTCTGGCTTGCCACTTCCTCCTCCTCGTGTTCGAGATCCAACACAAGTTCATCCTCATGAGGCCCCACTGGGTCCTCAGCAGGATCAACTTCTCCTTGCTCCTCGAACGGTTCAGATAACCGAAGAGGACCTTCAGCGTATGATCGCCGAAGCTTCAACAAGATCAACTTCTACTTGCTTCTCTAACGGTTCAGATAACCGATGAGGACCTTCAGCGTAGACACGGCCACGGGCCGGGTTTGACCTGGACCCGACCCGTTGACCACCCCGGCCCCGTTGACCATAGACCCGGACCCGGACCCGCCGAAGCACGGGTCGGTTTCGGGATTCTGGACCCGAGACCCGACGGGTCTACCCGGAGGGGGGGACCCGAGGACCCGACCCGAGGACCCGTCGCGTCAACCCGGATTTCGGGTTATTTTTGTCCAAAAAATGGACGATGGGGGATTCGAACTCGGGTTGATGGGTAGAGTTGGACAACTCTAACCACTGGGGCAACAGACATATTTGATTAAATGTAGACTAAAAATATATATAATATAAAACGCTAGTGTAAAATGATAAATATGTTATATAAATTATTAATTTTTATATTAATTATAATTAAATAATTTTAATTAAATTATTAACAAATGCAATATAAGAAAATTTTAAAAATATATATGGAATCACGGTTCAATACTTCAAAACATCTATTATTAATTACTATATCAATATAATCTCCACTATTGAAAAATATAAAGTATTGAATCAATTCAATATATAAACAAACACGTCGACTTAATACAAACTCACTTATGTTATTAAAATCGATAGTGTGAAAAATTCGAATGAAAAATAAAATAATTGGTTTGATTTGTAAAAATAGCAAGAATTAAATTGTAGGTCATATGATCTAATTATTTTTTTTACATTTAGATTTTATTCAAATATTAGAATCGAATCGTAAGATTTAAATGAATTAAGCTCAAGTCCTTTCAATTTCTTTTATTTTTTTAATTATATTATATTTCTTAATAATTTAATTAAAATTATTTAATAATAATGAATATGATAATTAATAATCTATTTAACATTATTTATTATAATCATTTAACACCTTTTGTTTATGTTATATATATTCCTTGTTATAATAATCCTAACTATAAATATATAAATATAAATAACACTGTAATATGATTATAATAATTGTATAACTAATGTTTTATAATTTATTAATTGTCATGTTGACTATTATTAATATCAAAAATCTCGACAAATAATAAATGCATATATATTTAATTTTGAAAAATATAAAAAAATACGTTTTAATTTAAAATAAAGATTGAATTTTGATATTTTTAGAATTTTGAAATTTTGATTTTTTTTTCAATTATTACTTTCACATATAAATACCCATAATTCAATCTTCACAACTTTCATTTTATTTAGTTTATGTCTCAAAGTCTTAATCGCTTCATTTTTTTTTCTAAAATTGTTTAGTGTTTAAATTCAATTATTTTTTTAATTTTGAATTTAAAGTTAATCTCATGTTTTTTCAAGTTTCAATATAAGTTTTTTTTTCCTTTCTTGTAAAAAAAAAATAAAAATTGAAAAACCGGGTGGACCCGGACCCGAACCGGACCAGGATGGACCCAGGTGGACCCACCCCGGACCCGCCCTCCCGCGTGTCGGTTTCGGGTCCCCTAAAGGTCGGACCCGGACCCGGCGGGTCTGACCCGGACCCGGACCCGGCCCGCCCCGTGGCCATGTCTACTTCAGCGTACGACCACGAAAGCTTCAACTCGTGCTGCCACTGAAGCAATGGCACAACCGTGCGCATCCACCTCAAACCATAGGTCTCTAACGCCTCATCCTAAAGTTGGGGGCTATCCCATCTGAAGGGTGGGCATCTCATCCCAAGGTTTCGTGATCGCTTTATCCTAAAGTTGGGGGCTATCCCATCCGAAGGTTGGGCATCTCATCCCAAGGTTTCGTGATCGTCTCATCCTAAAGTTGGGGGCTATCCCATCCGAAGGTTGGACATCTCATCCCACGGTTTCGTGATCACCTCATCCTAAAGTTGGGGGCTATCCCATCCGAAGGTTGGGCATCTCATCCCAAGGTTTCGTGATCGCCTCATCCTAAAGTTGGGGGCTATCCCATCCGAAGGTTGGGCATCTCATCCCAAGGTTTCGTGATCGCATCAGTCTAAGTTGGGGGTTATCTCATCCCAAAGTTGGGCATCTCATCCAAATGGTTGGACATCACCCTTACCTTTCAACACCAAGTGGGTTCACATCCCATCTCAAGAGTCGGATATGGCTTCCCTACTCAAAAAATAGAACATTATCCCCAAGGGATGAACATCAACCACCTCAAATCAAAAAGAAAAAAAAAAGGGTAAAAACGCGCGGACAAAGCACGCGCACGTGCACAACACCCGCCAATCGCGTGCACCCTCGGTACGCGTGCGCGCTGGCCGAAAAAAAAAAAGCTCAAACCGCACGGCGAGACCCAAGAACAAGAAGAAGAAAAAAAAAGAGAAAAAGGAAGTGTGGCGCGCGCAATCCAAGGAAAAAAAAGAGAGAAAAAAGTGGAAAACGCGTGGAAACAGCAGCGAGCGTGGAAGACACGCGCCAATCGCGCGGCATCGGTTCGCGCGTGCAGAAAAAAAAAAAAAAAAAAAGGGAAGAGCGCGTGTACAGCACGCGCCCATTGGACAGCGCGCGCGCTGACAAAAGCAGAAAAAAAAAAAAAAAAAGAAAAAGACAAAGAAATAGAAAAGTAAAGAGAGCAGCAGCACATCAGGGGACTCACCCATCACATCACCTCTCTCCTCATGAATCACACCTCCATCACCTCTCTCCTCATTAAACCTGCGTACCATCACTTAGACACGGCCACGGGCCGGTTCGGGCCGGTTCCGGGCCGGTTCGGACCGGTTCACGGTTCACATTTTCCGGAACCGGAACCGGCCCGTGGCGTGCACGGTTCACCGGGCCGGGTCGGCCCGCCGGTTCGGGCCGGTTCACGGGCCTATCCGGGCCGGTTCCGGGTCGGCCCGGAATTTTTGAATTTTTTTTTTTTTGTTTTTTTTTTTTTTTCTTGAAATATTTAATGAATAAGTAAATTAAAAGAAATACTTTTAAATAGATAAAGGAAAAGGAAATAAATGAAAAATCAATTTAGAAGCACAAGTTTGAAATATTTGATGAATAAGTAAATTATAGGAAAAATTGGGGTGTGAGGGTATTTATAGGAAAAATTGGGGGGGTTTGGGGGTAAAAAAATTCAAAAAAAAGCAAAATTGGGGTGTGAGGGTATTTATAGGAAAAATTGAGGGGGAAAAAAAATTCAAAAAAATTCAAAAAAAAGTAAATAACGGCCGGTTCACCCGGGTAGGTTCGGGCCGGTTCACCGGCCGTTATTCACTTTTTTTTGATTTTTTTTGAATTTTTTTTTTTTTTTTTTTTTTTTAAATCCGGGTGAACCGCCGGGCCGGCCCGGCGGTTCACGGTTCACCAAATCTAAGAACCGGGCCCGTCCCGGGTAGGACGGGCCGGTTCACGGTTCCGGGCCGGTTCACACGGTCAACGGGCCGGTTTGGGCCGTCAACGGGCCGGTTCGGGCCGGTTCCGGGCCCAAAACCGGCCCGTGGCCGTGTCTACCATCACTCTCTCTCCGTGATGTGCACGTGCCTCCATGCCCGCGCGATCCTATGTGCGCGCGTTCTCCAATGCGCGCCTCCTCTCCTGCCTCGGAGCGCGCGCAACTTCAATATTCTCCACCAAATCGCGTGTATATTTTGACGCGTTTCACCAAATTGCACGAGAATTTCAACGCGCTCCACCAAATTGCGCGAGCTCTCCAGCGCGCTTCACCAAATCGCGCGCGCTCTCAAACAGATAAATAAAAATTATTATTTCCCCACAACACCACAATTAACGGTACACCACAACACCGTCTACTCTCGACACGATCCGGTATCCTTTTCGACTTGGCTCCCACATCGAATCGAGAGTGGGGGGCTTGCGAGACAACTCCTACGAGGAGCAAACTCGCTCGATCCTACAAACCCGTTGCGAGGCAACTCCCACGAGGAGCCAACTCCCTCAGTACTACTACTCGCAGCGGGACAACTCCCACGAGGAGTCAACTCGCTCGGAACTACGAACCCTGCGAGACAACTCCCACGAGGAGCCAACTCGCTAGGCACTACGAATCCGTTGCGAGGCAAATCCCACGAGGAGACAACTCGCTCGGTACTACAACCCGTAGCGAGACAACTCCCACGAGGAGATAACTCGTTCGGTCCTACATTCGTTGCGAGGCAACTCCCACGAGGAGCCAACTCCCTCGGTTCTACGAACCCACAGCGAGATAACTCCCATGAGAATGCAACTCGCTCGGTACTACGAACCCGCAGCAAGACAACTCCCACGAGGAGCCAGTACTACGGACCCGCAGCGAGACAACTCCCACGAGGAGCCAACTCGCTCGGTACTACAACCCGCAGCGAGACAACTCCCACGAGGAGCCAACTCACTCACTACTACAACCTGCAGCGAGATAACTCCCACAAGGAGCCAACTCGCTCGACACTACGAACCCGTTGCAAGGCAACTCCCATGATGAGCCACCTCGCTCGCTAATAAGACTTGTTGCGAGACAACTCCAACGAGGAGACAACTCGCTCAAAGCAACCTCAATCCGCACGCTCCTCAGTCGCGCGTCATCCGACGCCCCAACAACTTCGCTGCGAGACAGTTCTCTCGAGGAGACAACTCGCTCACAATTAACTACACAATCACAAGCTCAAGTTAGCACGATTACAACCCTAGAAACACTTAGAGATATTATGGGAATCTATAGAGCCTGGCCAGCTTGATTACTCAAATTTCTCTACCTGTCTTTGACGGGTCCTTCATTAAAACATGGCCACGGTCCTAACATACTTACGACCTACGAGGTCTAACAAGGGGCATGATCCCCATAAAAAAATCTTGAGAGGTTGATCCCCTCCTCAAGTACATCACGCACAAGGCTATATGTAAACACATACAAGCAACGCGTCGAAACATTGCCAATGTCAATAAATAACAACTCCCACAAGGAGATTACTCGCTCCGTGCTACTACATTATCGCGAGACAACTCCCACGAGGAGATAACTCGATCAACTCTATTACCCCGCGACGAGACAACTCCCACGAGGAAATAACTCGCTACTACATCGTCGCGGGACAACACCGACGACTCAAATAACTTACATCGCGACAACTTGGTTGCGCTACGCGCCAATACGCCTTCACGCCCCTCCGACACATGCTTCGACGTGTTTTCGCACACCATCAGCCCATACGCCAACGAGCGACCACTACAATTTTTACTCTCGACACGATCGAGAACCCATTTCGACATGGCCCCCACATCGACTCGAGAGTGGATGGCTTAATGATATGCCTAATTGGGCCAACCCAATAGGCCTACAATTTTCTTTACCTACTGAGCCACAAGCCCAATATAGAAGACCACTACTACCGATGCCCAATCACCTTCAAATAAGGTTTTGGCCCTATAATCTCAACTAATTAAACTTCAGCCCAATCAATGAGGTATAAATAAAGGTTTGAACTAATTCCTTAAGGTAAGTCCGATTAATTGAGCCATACTATCCACTATATTCTCTGGACCATTATTATTATCCGCACGTCTGACTTGAACGTCGGAGGGGTTTCCGCCGGATCAACCCCCCGCTTAGTTTACGTGTTCTATGATCGCAGGTATTTCAAGGTCATCAAGCTCGTGAGCCAGTGATCCCCTCTGTTCTTCCAACTCTTCCTACTTCAACTATCTAAGGTGATCTATCTCTAGCATCATCACATTTCTTGATGCATGTTTGAAGAATGACCAAGAAGAAGACTTGTACAAAATAGTAGACGAGTATGATGGACCAAGGTTCAACATCCTGACACAAACTCAACCCGCATAAAAAAAGATGAACTAAAGGCATCAGATGATACACATGCAAGACAATCTGCTGAACAAAACGATGCAGTTCCAGAAAAAATGGAGTCCGACTCTTTCGGCCTACCTACACCAGCAGAATATATCCTTCCACCAATTCCAGAAACAGGCTATCGTATAATTGAGTTGAATGCCGAGGTCCAGCTACTGAAGAGTGTAGAGAAAAAAAAAATGCAATTTTCCATCAATTCAAATGACCTCAAAATCACCGAACTTGAGGCAAACATTGGAGCTTTTGCACTGGCATTGAACATCAAACTCGAACCTGCACCTCAATCCGATAGTGATTTCGAAATATGAAATGAGGATGTGGGAGCAAGGAAGCGGATCCAAATTCTGCTGTGGAAAATAAGACAAGGGCAAAAAAGCCAAACTTTACACCACGGAACGTGATGAAAGTCAGACGAGACAACTACTACAAGATGTTGAAGGTGTACACCGACATGGAGGAAGATGACATAATAAAGGTTGATCTTATAGCTGATGTCTTGATGCATGGGGAGTAAGTACATTATATTTTGCATATGTATAACTATATATAACTATATCTTAGTATGGATATCAAATAACCTCTTATAATTTGCAGCACTACATGCTGGAAAAATCCACATGGTACAGAACAAATCATCATGTCTGCCATGCTTCATCTCATAAAGGGAGAATAAATTGGTAACTATTAATAATCATATATTTATATTTCGTCCACTGAATCTGTCTTGTACTCTTAATATCTAATACATACATGTACATGTCACAGACTCATACTGCAAGATCTCAGAGGCACAACAACGCGATGGAGTATTTGAGATTCAATGGATGGTATAAAACTCCAAAATGGACAACGATGGTTTTCCCCTCGATACTGGTAATAATTCCATGCCAATTTAAAGAATTTTTCAATTAAGTCTAATTTACTAATACCTTCTCAACGTTAACAGACAAGCCTGCGAGAGGCAAATGATACAACTTTCACAATTCGAAACATCGATATCTAGCATTCCCGCTGCACTCTATGGACAACCCTAAATCTGGTGGGAACCACTGGAAATTGATGATCTTGGACAAGATACATAAAGAGAGGCGATTCTACGACTCGTACAAACCTCAAACACCCCACACTAAGGATGTGTACGTAACACTTGCAAATGATATCGTCAGACCATATACTAACATAATAAGTTTACTTAAAAACAACTAACATAAGAATAATAAATGTGAACTGTTCATTACCTTGCCTTGATTTAACAGAAAAAATATGTGGAAAGGTATGCAAGAGCACAAAAGATTAAAGACATCCTTCTACGCGTTGGGCTCTTCGATATCACTGACTCTCCACAACAAGACCCTAATTCCAAACTAGTTGCAGCATACACACATGTATTAAATTGGAACACAATTGCCTTCCGAAATGTCGAAGTAGTACCTCAAAACTTGTTCAACAGATTTTTCTGCACATAATAAAGACAATATGAATGGAAATTGTCAGGAAATACATTATTCACCCCTTTCAAGATTCCATTGTTCCGGTCAGACATAAATGTCGACGCACGATCTGTCCCAATCGCTGTTTTCGGATGTTCTAAAAAAAACCAATAGCTATTAGTCTCCTCGTTCACAACAACAAACGCTACTGGGAATAATCATGAAAATATAAAATAAGTATTAGAAAATAAAAAACAAGTAGCACTATGCAGTAATATAAAACAACTTTCTACCAATTCTTAACATTATCGCCATTTTTCGATATTGTAGTAAGCAATATGTTTTCCCCATAAAAAAGTACCATCAACAGAGAGTATTGTTCATAATGCCTTAAATCACATCAAATAAGAACCCACAACAAAAAAACAGCGCCGGAACCTCTTTGTTGATTGACCAATTGGTCCTTCCAAGATCCTCCAAGTAAGATGCCACATATGAGTACGACGATGTATGATCACTAAAAATGTGTTCCTTCGAAGCTTGAATAGCCATCCAACCAACATAATAACTAATATTAATGCCAAAATAAAGCTTTGCATGTACGACAACGTCATTAGCTGCCGAACCGGGCTTAACTCTCACTTCACTCATGACCAAATTAGAGATTATATCAGATGTCAACCTCTTTTTACTAGCAGTAGAAAAACCACATCCACACGTATGCTGCTTCACATATCTTAGGATGTAAAATAAGCCATTCGCATGCTCAATCGATGCATGCTTCCTCCACATATGGTCCTGCACATCCATGTCTTTACAAACTGCAGTAACCCTCTCATGCTTATTCTTCACATAATTGAATTCAAACCCCATCTCGATAGCATATAAACATAACGCCCTCCTAAAATCCTTGACACCCCCTTCAAAAACTTGGCCAACATCGTTTATAAATTTTGCCCAATTAGTAGTCATAATTAGAGATTGACCGGATGACACAAAATTCCGCTCAACAACACTGCATTCCACCTAGTCGTATTCATCTAAATAGTTATTTGATAAGAGTTGAATCACACCGATTGCGCCCACTCTATGTTTAACAACTATATCAATCTGATTAATTGATAACTGCCAGAGAAAGGACAACATGAACGAAACAACGTCGTCATCACCCAACATCCCTCCCCAACACCATCTATATTGTACGAAATAGCGACATTATATAGGTCTAATTCGTTCCACTTAGCGTTGACATAACCAATTAAATCTTCATAATTAAATTCGCCAACACATTTTTTTACTTCAAAAACACCATCAAACTTGAGAACCAGTGTCACCGACAAATACATATTTAGATGGAAATCTGCAAAAATGAAATTCGATCAACATAACTACATATAACTACCTTATAAAAATATGAATTTTTGCGAAAAGAAAATGCAGAATGACCACATAAACACATATAACATCAACCAAATGCAAAAACAAATCTATATAACCCTAGAAAAAAATATGAATCACTGTGCACATATAATTTGTTGGGGGAAACTAATCCGCACATATGAAACACCTATTGAACAACGCTCGCAATGGGGAAGACTACTCCGCACAATAACTCCTCCGCACAAAAAAATTGCGACTGCTATGAATTTCAATTTCTCACAGATCCGTTTTCGAAAACAAATTCTGATACGTCGTGCATTTTCCGTCTGTGAACGAGATTATAGCGATCGTGATATGTAAATAGAATAACGTAGGATTTTGAAACCTGACTACACAAGGGTATATTAGGTACTTCAAATGTAGCGAGGGATGAGGTATGTCAAATTATCATAAAAAAATGAGAGGGTTTACACTAGGGTGTAATTCCTTTAATGGTTAGTTCCAAATAATTTCCATTTGAGGGTCCCTAAAATATATTTTTTTTTTTTTTGCACAAAAATTGGCAGCACACACCGTGCAAGCGAGTTAACTCTTGTACTTCATTGTTGACAATTCCTAGGAAAAAAATAGAATAATAATTGATGTACTTTTGGATTTAGGAGATCATTTCAAGTACGCATAGATAATTAATTATTCCTTGTACTCTTATGTACTTAATAATCCACAAATATCTAAAATGTTATTACAAATAAGTCCATGGTAGGTAACTTATTTCAATCTAGGTCCACTCTTAAATTTTTTTAACAAAAAAATCCACACAAAGTTCAGAGGTGAATAAAAGACTAAAATACTTCCATCATATTTTAATTTACTCTAATACCATTCATGTAAACCCCAATTTGACCCCCAATTTCATCAATTATTCAATTTTGACACCTAACCTAATTTTGATTGTCGTCGCCATTGAACATCGGTCTCCAGCGTTGTTATTTTGGAAACTTGCTTTCCGTCGCCGCTGACTGGCGGCTTTGACTTTCTTTTTTATTATTTTTTAATGATTTTTTTTTTCTTCCCAAAACATTTGTTGGCGCCGCTAAAAACGGTAATATAACTGCGGTTGACAATAAAATTAACTATATTACTGTTTTATTTTTTTTGACGAAAAAAAAAACCTAGTAATATTGTTAATATTACTATCTAGCACAGTAATATTAACACAACACAATCAATATGTTAAATAATAAATTATTGTGCAATAGAATAATATTATTATGTTAACCGGTCAACAAAGACGAACAAAAAAAAAAAGATAAAAAAATAGTATCGTTGTGACAGACAATATTATTACTATCAACCACAATAATATTATAATACTAGACAATAATATTATTACGTTGATCGGTCAACAAAGCAAACAAAATAAAAAGCTAAAAAGAATAATATTGTTATGGTTGACAGTATTATTACTATCAACCACATTAGTATTACTGAAGTTGATAGTAATATGACTGTCAACCACATTAATATTACAATAGTACACAACAATATTATTACGTTGACCGGTCAACAAAACAAACAAAATGAAAGATAAAGAATAACATTGATGTGGTTGACAATAATATTAATGTATTTTACTGTCAACCACAATAATATTATTGCCAACGGTCAGCCGTGGACAGAAAAGAAAAACAAAAGTCAACGCGGGTCTCCAGTGACGAAAAAAAAAATTAAATTTTTTTTTTTGAAAAAAAGTCAAAATCAAATTTTATAGTCAAATTAAGAATTATGATTAAAGCGTCGACGATAGTTTTGTCATAACCAACAAGTTTGCATTTGTTTATAACTAGTAATTGTACCCGTGCGATGCACGGGACAACAAATTACATTGTTTTGATGTTGTAAGAATATAAATAAACGTTTGATGTATCGTATGATCAAAATTCTATTATACTGGAACATTATTAAGTATACTACACACAAAAAAAAAGGACATAACTTTACTGTTGAATAAGTATCGTATGATTTGAATCAGCTAATACCAGTAGATTGAAAATTTGAACCAGGAAAAAAATCATCAATTATGTCTTTCATGTTGAGCTTAAAAGTAATTAGATTTAATAACTAAGTTAACATAATCAAAACTAAACTATCGACAACATACCATCGTAAAAAGCCATCTATACATCTTGCATCGGAACTAAGCCCTTCTCCACTGCCTCATTTTAAGGCTGTTTTGCCACTGGAATTAACAATTGGAAAATTAAGAAACAATAAATTAAATATCGCATACAAACAATAAGTCTTGAAGGTCGACTTCCAATAGCTTGTGGCTCCGCCCATTTTTGGTTAATTTTCTCAAATCATCCATTTCAATAACATGTCCAATAACATATAAAATGAAATAATTGTTATACATAAAATTTGAAAACTTTGGTATAAATTAATGAAACACATAATTTAACAAAATGAAATTACCTATAAGCCATGATGGAAAAAAAATGTAAACTAATTGCCACACAGTCAATAGGATGAAGAAGAATATAAGAAACAAAATCTAAAGTCGGCTTACCAAAAGAAGAAGCCTTAGGTTGGGAAGACATAAAATTCAAATGTTGCGGACATTCTGTAAAACGATGTTACAAAATCCGCTAGGGATGAAAATCAGATTTATTTACCCTTTTCTGTAAAAATTGAAAATCAGATTATTATAAATAATATCTAGGAGAATTTGATGAAAATCGATAATAATATTTAAAATAATATTTAGGAGATAAAAATTTGATAAAAAAATCAAAAACTAATATTTAGGAGATAAAAGTTGATAAAAATCGAAAATAAAATTTAAAATAATAGTAAGGAGATAAAAATTTGATAAAAAATCGAAAATAATATTTCAAATAATGTTAATGAGATAAAAGTTGATAAAATATAAAAATTATTATTTAAAATAATATTTAGGAGATAAAAATTTGATAAAAATCGAAAATAATGTTTAGGACACAATAATCTCATAAAAAACGAAAATAATATTTAGGAGATAAAAAAATAATAAAAACATGATAAAACTCGAAAAAAATATTTAAAATATTATTTAGGAGATATAAATATGATAAAATTCGAAAATAATATTTAGGAGATAAAAATCTGCTAAAAGTTGAAAATTATATTTAAAATTATAGTTAGGCGATATAAATTTGATAAAATTAAAAAAATATTATTTATAATAATATTTAGGAGATAAAAATTTGATAAAAATAAAAAATAATATTTAGTAGACAAAAATCTGATAAAAAATAAAAAAATAATATTTAAAATAATATTTAGGGGATACAAATATGATAAAATTCGAAAATAATATTTAAATTAATATTAAGGGGATAAAAATTTGATAAAAATTGAAAAAAATTTACAAATATGACATTAAGGGTTTCTTAGGGTTGCCCTAGCGTTTCTTTCTTTTATATATAAGATATCTAGGAGATAAAAAATTGATGAAAATCGATAATAATATTCAAAATAATATTTAGGAGATAAAAATCGAAAATAATATTTAAAATAATATTAAGGAAATAAAAATTGAAAAATATAATATTTAGGAGATAAAAATCTGCTAAAAGTTGAAAATTATATTTAAAATTATAGTTAGGCGATATAAATTTGATAAAATTAAAAAAAT